TCTGTCGTGACTGGGCAGATGAGGAGTTTTGCAAGGCAGGCGGGGGAGGGAGGACTTTTCAGGGCTTGTTTCTGGACTGTAAGCAGGACAAGAGGAAACATCTGTCCGCGATTGCAATCGAAGGGATTGCCTGGCAAGCGGGAAGAGATAACAGGGATTTTTTTTTTTTTGGGGGGGGGGGGAATCCTCACCTCACCAGACCTATCTCCAAGGCTTGGGAGCAAGTGGGCATGTCTGTGTGTGTGTGTGTCCAGTCCTGGACACTGTTGTCTATTTCTGGAACTAGTTAATTAACATTGCTTCTCGGAACCAATCAAATTCCAGAGGCTGGGGAAGGGAGGAGGAAGGAGCAATAAGCAATCAACAACTGGGAATTGCAAAGCTGATTTTATACATACATACACATGTACATGCATACATTCATATTTATTCTGGGTCTCTTCTATGGGCCAATGAAGGATCCTGTTTCTGTCCCTGTTCCTGTTTGCTGCTTCTTGGGCTTTTGGTTTTCTTTGCAAAAGCCTGTTCCTTTTTGTTGCCTAGCTTTCTTTGGTTTGAGGTTAGTTGAGGACTTTTGGCATGGGCCGAAATTGGTTGGGAATGGCAGGTGGGAACAGAAAAGTCTTTGCAGGGGGATGGGCATGTAAATAGACATGGAGCCAAATAGCCAAGTTATGATTTTGGAGCCTACACAAAGGAGAGATGCAGGTGGATAAGTTTGATAGGATAGGGGAGATGGTGCTGATTTTTCTGCAAGATGTTATTTATACAGCTGTGCACAGCTGATAGTTCTGTAGCTCTTCTGGTACCAGGTTCCCTTTCTAAATATTTTTTTAAAGTACTGTTTATGTGATCTGTGTCATTAGTATAATTTCTTTTATGAGCATGGCGAAGTGCCTCTTCTTATTTTCAGCATCCTTTTTAGCCCATGTTTTTGTCTCTTGCACAGAACTTTCTATTCCTGTTGTCAATGTTGTATTATTATAATTATTATTATCCCATGCTTCCCCCAAAACTGGGACTCAGAGTGGCTTAAAAACAGTACAATTAAAAACATATTTAGCTGGAAATAAATAAGAGTAATATTAAAGTTTTTTTTTTAAAAAAAGGATAAGATTCTCCTAACATCATTGTTTTTTTTTTCCCTTATGGAAAGGATTAATTTAATCATAGCTTTAAAATGTTTCAAATGTGCTTTGTTAATATTAATACTGAAATAAATCAGTACAAATTTCAGAAGCTAATCTAGGCTGCATCCTCACTGCAGAAATGATCCAGTTTGACACCTCTGTAACTCCCATGACTTTGTGCTGGGAATTCTAGTTTATTGTGGCACCAGAGCTCTTTGACAGGAAAGGCTAAATGTCTCATAAAACTACAAATCCCAGAATGCCATGGCATTGAGCCATGACAGTTCAAGTAGTGTTAAAGACAGTTTAACAGTTAAATTTAAAACTGCATTATTTCTGCAGTGTGGATGCAGCCCTTGTTCATTAATATCAGAATTTGAGAATAAAAGAGACTTTTATTTCTTGTTTCCTGATTATTCTGCGGTGTTGGTGCTGGATTGGCCCATTTATAGAAAGTTTTGTACTTCTGAAGGGGGTTCCTTCATTCTAGCCAAGAACAAGATCTCTGCTGGACAGATAACATAAAAACAAGCACATGGTTTTTTATTGTTGCGTTATTTTATGGGAACAGGAAACGAGTGTACATGTAACTGAAACAGAAATGCATGTGGGTTTTTTCTTCAGTTATAAATTGGAGATTATCTGGATCTCTTTTCATACATGTAGATTTCATCTTTTAAAATCCTCAGCCTTTCACCTTCTTTTCTCTGAAACGTTGCTCTTGGAAATATTTTTTGTGACACCCTAATTGAAAACACTTTCCAATTTCAATAATGTCTCTCTGATCTGGTAAACAGTAATAGCACTTTAGGGGTAAAATAAGTTGGTCAGCTTTCTCTCCTAATGGCTCAGGATGGATTAACACTATATCCTTATCTTAACCCTGCAAGTTAGATTAGGTTGAGAGAATAATTGAGTCAAGGCCACCCGGTGGACTAAAGAGTTGAAGAGAGTTTGGATGTAAATCTCCTGCATCTCCTGCAATTTTTGTTGTGTACCAGGGGCATTTGCATGGAATATGATAATACTTTTGTTTGAAGCTATGTTTTTTTTTGGGGGGGGGGGGAGGTTATCCTTCCAATAGTGAAAAATCAATGTTCAGGACAGAAGGCAAAGGGCAAATTTACTGTAGAGGCATACAGATATGCACACCTACCCTGAAACCAGTGCCTCTGAACTCACATTACTTCTAAGTAGGGATGTATAGGTCTACACTCTAATTTTTTTTGTTATTGTGTGCCTTCAAGTATTTCCAATTTATGGTGACTTTAAGGCGAACCTATCATGGGGTTTCTTGGCAATTTTTTTCAGAGGACCATTCTCTGAGGCTGAGAGAGTATGACTTGCCCAAGTTAACCCAGTGGGGTTCTATGGCTGAGTAGGGATTTAAACCCTACTCTCCAGAGTCACAGTCCAACACTCAAAGCACTACGCCACACTGGCTCTCTGTAATCTCGTTTGTTTAAACTGATTTAACTTTCAGAAATAATATAGTAAACGGTAGTTTTACTGTAGTGTTAAGAGTGGTCTTTGAGAGATCCCACATGGAATTATAGCTTCCAAGGTTCCTACGCTCAATCTATGGTGACTGTATGTCCAAACATTCCTTGTCTCCTCCACTAGCACTTAAATACCTCCAGTATTTTCATGGGAATCATTCAGGTCAGACTTGAAATACAGGTGGCTTAAATCAGTTGAGTAATGTCATCATGTTCATGTTCTGATAGTGGTCCAAAGTTTGGAGAAAGATTTATTCTTTCATCCAACATAGGCTGTAGCCAACAGTTCAGATCTTATGTTGTCAGACTCTCCAGAGTATTTAAAAATCCAGTGTGTAAATGAAGTACCTCAATAACAACCTCCCCCAAAAAACCTATGACATTCTTTTTTGTGTGTAACCCATTATGTCATGGATGATGAAAATCTGAAACTCATTAATGATGAAGAACCCAGTTGGAGCTTGGTAGTAATTTATTTATTTATTTAGTCTGCATGCCTAAAATCTCTCAGCAAGCATGACTAGCATGGCCTTGTTGTATGGGTAACTCTGAAACTTGTGGTCCTAAAAATAACTTTTCACAAGCACTATCCAAAGAGTATATTCAAAAATGGACTTTCAAGGCTTGCTGTTTCTGCACTGGCACAACAACCTATGGGGGATGCCAATGGCCAGCCCTGAGCCACCCTGGGAAGCAGAGGATTGGGGCCAAGGCTGCCCCATGCCTCGGCCCCAATCCTCCCTTTTGCCAGCCTGTAAAAGAGCGGCAAAACGTCACTCCTTTCAGAGCCGGCAAAAAGCATGCCCCAAGAGGCGCTGCACCAGGAGGTCGTTCTCAAGATGCTGCACCAGGAAGACGTTCTGACGCTATATGCCATGCGTAGCGGTGCGTGGCATAAGGTTTCCTCGGGGAGGGGTTGCGGTGGCCAGCGTGCAGCGTCTGGCTGCTCCTCCCCATCTCTGCCTCGAGAACGCCGGAAAAGGCCCATCTGCAGAGGCCCATATATTTTGTTAGCCACCCTGATTTATTCTCTTCATTTTATATTATCACTATGCAGTATGTAGCAGAAATGATATTCTGCCAATATTAACAATGTATTCCTTCTGGCTAATGGAATACAGTGTGTTTGTTGTACAATGCCAAGAGCTGTTTGTTTCCTCCCATCCCCCTCAGACAGCAGAGATCATTTAATTCACTTTGAGAGGGGTTTTCCTATTTAATGCTATTTCTGCAGGCAGCACAGCATGGGGAAAACAGAGCTAAAGGGCTCAAGATTAGGGTGTTGCATAAAAACTGGAAAATCATGGACTGAAATCAAAGAAAGGAAAGCCTCTTAGTGGGGTAAGCTTATCTCACTCTACAGCAGTCCAAAGCTGGAATGGAAACATGCATTCTCTTTACAGAATAAGGCATCTCTAGTACTGAGGGCTTGTTGGTGGATATGTGTAAGGCCGGATTCACATAGAATTTTGTACTTTGGGTGCAAAGACTATAAAAACACACACACATATACACATATAACATTAAAGTTTAGTGTTATAAGAATGAGCTTTCACTTCCTCTGAGATATCCTAATTTCCCTTCCCAATTTTTCTATTAATCAAAACTGGATGATTTTGTTTCAGTATTTGATTGAAGCAGTCTGATACTTAATCTTAAGTATGGATCATAGAAACAAACAAGCTTTACTCCTCCCCCCCCCCCAAACTGGGACTCAAAGCAGTTTACAACAATTTAAAAACATTATTAAAAAGCCACAAATTACAAAAATTAAAACACAACTAAACAATCAGAAAAAAAAGATAATTGAGTTAAAATGTATCATTAAAACACACACCAATTAATAATACCCAGTTAAGATGGGCCTTATATCACCACTCATCAAACAATACAGATTACTATGGAGTAATCTCTTAAAGTAAAGGTAAAGGTATCCCCCGTTGTCAATGTTGTCAAGTTGTGTCTGACCATAGGGGATGGTGCTCATCTCCGATACTAAGCTGAAGAGCCAGCGTTGTCAGAGACTACTCTGATCATGTGGCCAACATGACTGCACAGAACACTGTTTACTTTCCCATCGAGAAGTGGTACCTATTTATGTACTTGCATTTGCATGCTTTCAAACTGCTAGATTGGCAGAAGCTGGGACTAGTGACATGAGCTCACCCTATCATGCAGCACCTGGGCCTCAAACTGCCAACCTGCTGATCATGCAATCAACAGAGTCAGTGTCTTAACAACTTGAGCCACCATGTCTCTTACCCCACAATATTAGATTTGTGTACAGATTTTAAAATAATAATTAAGGACTCTCTCTGTCTCTCACACACACATACATACATGTGTTCAGATATCATATCTATCACCAAAGACCCTTGAGGTGAGAGTGTAGACATCAATAGCTAGTCTTCTGCTTTGTACTGCCTGCTTTTAGAGCAGGCCTACACAACATATGGCCTGTGGGCTGCTGATGGGCTGCCAAAGGATTTCGGGCAGTCTGCAGGAAAGAATCAGGAGGAGGAGGAGGAGGAGGAGGAGGAGGAAGGGGTGGCATAGCATGATGCAGGAGGAGGAGAAAGAGAAGAAGGCCAGGTGAGAGGAGGAAGAGGAGTGAAGAAGAGAAAGAGGCAACAAGGGTGAAGAGGAGGAGGCTCCCATGGCTGGGGCAGGTCTATCCTCTGGGGCTCTATTCATGGAGGTCCTTGCTGGAGAGGAGGACAAGGAGGAGGCCGGGAGGGGGGTGACTTGCCCACTGCCACAAGAACAGACTATCCAGCAGCAGCCCCAATATCTCATGGCCACAATGGAGGGAAGGAGCCAGCAGAGAAGGAGGAAGGTGAGGGTCCACTTAAGGGCAAGGGGCTTCCAGCTGTGGGGGGCTCCAGGGCCACCCTTCCAGCTCTGGGTGTCTGGAAAGGAGAGAGGGCGTGGGCTCCCCATAGTGAGACACCAGCAGGGGCAGGAGGAAGCTCCTCCTTTCTCCGCCTTGGGCTCCAGCCACCTTTGGAATAGGCAGCCAAGGGCAGAGGAGTGACTGCAGTTAGTGGTGTTACTGCTATTGTTGTTGTTGTGTGCCTTCAAGTTTTTCTGACTTATGGCAACCCTAAGGAAGCTTGCCACAGGGTTTTCTTGCTAAGATTTATTCAGAAGTGGATTTGCCAGTGTCTCCCTCTGAGGCTAAGAGAATGTGACTTGTCTAAGATCACTCAGTGGGTTTCTGTGGCCAAGTGGGGATTCAAATCCTGGTCTCTGGGGTGATAGTCCAATGTTTAAACCAGTACACCACACTGGCTCTTTCTTGAGGTTTTGTTGTTTTTTCTAGTGTGGCTTCAAGTCATTGCCTACTTATGGCGACCCTAAGACCATCCTGGGGGTTTCTTGGCAAGATTGGTTCAGAGGAGGTTTGCCATTACCTTCCCCTG